TTTTTATCTCATCCACAAAATTTGCTAAATTATAGCTTTATTTTTAAAACAATTTTATTTTTTGATATCAAAACTATTTATTAATTTGGATTTAAATTTATAGATTTACTAAACTATAAATATATTTATTGTTAAGGAACTAAAAATTAAAAAAAACCGAAACAGAAATGTAAAATTATACTGTTGGACAGTACATACTGTACTTTATATTAAAATGAGATAGGGTGATTTTTTTGTTTTTATAAACGAAAGACATTTAAACCTTATTTATCTTAATAATTTTATTCACATCTCATCACTGAATGTCTTATTTGAACAGCGGTTTCGTGTTTGAATCTCTCTCTCTCTCTCTCTGAAAATTAATGTTTGTTTAAAGGAATTGTTCGTTCAATTGGTGTTTCAAACTTCAATTCAAAGCAATTGGAAAACATAGTGAAGAAATCGTCAACAGTTCCGGCCATAAATCAGATCGAATCTCATCCCTATCTGAATAATGAAAAACTGATCCAATTTTGTGGCCAACGAAACATACATTTGACGGCATACTCACCGCTGGCCCGACTCGGCAACGGTATTGACGTATCGCCGCTGGAGTTACCGCTAATCAAAGAGTTGGCCAAAAAGTATAGCGTAGGCGAAGGAGCCGTTTGTATCCGATGGCAAACCCAAAGAGGGCTTTCAGTTATACCAAAGAGTTCGTCCAAAGAGAGACTTAAGGCTAACCTTAATGTGTTTCACTTTACACTAACCGACGGCGAAGTGAAAGCAATACTGGCGTTGAATCAAAACATGAGGACATCTAAACACAACAGACACGGCGCCGATAAGTCCAAGAATAACCCCTTTCTTATTGAGTACTGAATAGCAGTTTTGTTTCAATCTTTGGATTCAATTGTGAAATCAATGATAAATATTATGAATTATAATAAAATTGACTCAAACAATATGAAAATATGTTAATCCACTTTCAATCCACTTATTTATTACAAAAGCATTTCAATAAAACAATTCATTTAAAAAAATCAGAGCACAAACTAATGCATTCCTCTTTGGTCTCAAAATTATTTTTATTTCCACGACATCCGCCATAACTAAACTCAAGACATGTCTTCTCTGATGGTTTGTAATACCATTTGGGTATAAGTGCCCGACACATGCCCTTCACTTCTGGCAGTGAACAGTCCTCTTTTGTCACATTAGCTAAACAAACACATCATCAAAATTAACACAATTATAATTGTAAAGAAATTAAAATATTATTTGTCATTAGAAATTATATAGATTAATTTATTTCTGCGTAAATTAACAATATTTAAATATTATTCTTATAATTTGTGTCATAAATACTCAATTGATTTTTAAACCTTTCTTCTGGTCGTCATTAACAGCACTCAAGGGATCAGATGAGACGTTCAACGCGGGGCCGTCGGCAGGTATACTCTCTTTGAGCAACAGATCCGGTTCTTCTGTTGTTATTGTCACCGGCGATGGCAGAGACGATGGCAGAGGCGATGACGCACGCGATCGCTTCGGTGGCGATGAGATCACATCCGGAGTCCTGTCGTATAAAATGATCTTTTCGTTGTCGAAATCCATTTCGTCGTTAAAACTCTTCTCAATGTAATCATAACCCGTAAAACCGGTGATGGATTCGGGCAACAGTCCGGCCGTTATGACCGGCGGTCCGGCCTTTTTCACGCAAAATCTTTCGCACAACTGTTTGGTCATAAACTTGTTTGCATTTCCGGCGCATCCGTTATAAGTGAATGTTTTGCACTCATTGTCTTCCGAGTCGTAAAACCATAGCTCGTAGTGAGCGTCACATTCGCCCGAATCGACCGCCAGTTCACAGTTTTCTATCAGTAATGAACTCTTGAGCACAAAATACTAGTCGATAATGAGTAGACATACCGGTGCCCACCAATTGCCTATTGTTATGCCGATGTGGTCGTGGTTTACCCCGACATGACTTTTGGCACTGGAGTTTGGATTTAAAATTATTGTCATTTCCATCGCAACCGCCGTATATAAAGTGCACACAATCTCTGCGCGATATATCGTAATACCATCTCTGCATCAGTGCTTTACAGTCACCGCTTTCCGGCCTCAGTAGACAGTGCTCTTCCAGTGCTGGCAATCGTTGCATATTATCATAATTAACGCAATTATTAATTTTATCAAATTAATTATGAAAGGTATAAGTTTCTAATTTATGGTTAAGTTTTAAATACCGCATGCTATGAATCCCAATAAATGGTACAATATTTGTAAATTAAATAAAATATTTACTATGCTTAATTTGTTACACATTATTATTTGATTTTTATTTTACTGTCTACCATTAATGTGTTTATATTTATTAATATTTATTAAGCAATATTTTAATTATAAGTTAGTAATAAATGAATATAATTACTGTATTAAACAACCAATTATACAAAGTCAATAAAATGTGCTTAATTTTAAAACTATTTAATAACGACATACAAATCATATTTATAATTAATTTTTTAATAAATACTAGAATGTAATTATTTGAAAAAATGTGTGGGAAATATACCCCCAGTGAATAAAATGAAAATCGTCATTTAAAAATAAGCTGATTTTCATTATACAATACATTAAAATCGACTAGACACTGTTAAGTATTTGACCTTATTCTTAAATATTGGATTAAATGTTTATAAATCATATTTTGGTACAAATATATCTGTATGTCATTTCACAGGAGGGGATCATTTCATTAACATAGTCTCTACTATTGATTTGGTTTATTAATCCAATAGTTAGACAACAATTTCTTAATTACTTCAGAATTAAGATAAATAAGGTTTAAATGTCTTTCGTTTATAAAAACAAAAAAATCACCCTATCTCATTTTAATATAAAGTACAGTATGTACTGTCCAACAGTATAATTTTACATTTCTGTTTCGGTTTTTTAAATTTTTAGTTCCTTAACAATAAATATATTTACTAAATACGAACCTTTTTAAATTCATATTATGCGCCAATGTTAAAGTCAATAAAAAAGTGTGAAATGATACAGTGTCCAATCAACATTAAGCAAGAAAGTCCTTTAACTAAGTCCTTTCGAAAGGTTCGTATTGAGCAAATATATTTATAGTTTAGTAAATCTATAAATTTAAATCCAAATTAATAAATAGTTTTGATATCAAAAAATAAAATTGTTTTAAAAATAAAGCTATAATTTAGCAAATTTTGTGGATGAGATAAAAACGATTTATTCTTGTTATATACTCTCAGATTAGATAATAGTTTATTAATAAATATTAAGTCCAGTATTGACGTCAAACACTGTTTTGATGAGAGAGAGAGAGAGAGAGAGAGAGAGATTCAAACACGAAACCGCTGTTCAAATAAGACATTCAAAATATATAAATTAGTATTTACATCAGAGAGAGAGAGAGAGAGAGAGAGAGATTCAAACACGAAACCGCTGTTCAAATAAGACATTCAGTGATGAGATGTGAATAAAATACATATAATTTATTTGATTCATTTTTTTGGTTAAATCCCAAAATGTTATTAATAATATGCGGAGAATATAAACCGGATTTATAATACAAACCTAAATACTTTGTTATTACTATTACTATAACACTATTACTACAGATATATCTAAATATATAAGTTGGAGGACTAGCCAAGGGGTGGGCAATATATTTATAAACACATTATAATAAAACTAATACCAAACCCGCCCTTAAAGTTAGTTAGAGGTTAAGAAGCGATCAGTGAATACATTATAATTAGTTTGAATTTAATTCATTTCCGATTGTTTTTATAGTAATCTTTATAAGAATTAACAACGAATACATTAAACAAATTAATCATGATCGAAACACTATTAAATTATACAACAATTACTATTGGCCACAATGGGAAACAATGTGGAAAACGCTTGTGGTAAAAAACAGGTGTATTTACGATTTGGTGACCCCTATTGTCAAATAAATAGAGAGCGAGAGAAGTAGTAAAAATTCCTGAGCTTTTTGTGTATACAATATACAAATATGTTGTATAATAATAATATGTGTTATCCAACACATGGGTAGGCACTCGACCTTGCCTTAGGGCTTGGCCTCACTTACCGGTGAGCTTTAAATACACTTTTTTCTCTCTTAGCCAACCGTTATATTATGCATACATTTTTCAGAGCCATTCACCACAAGTCCTTTTTAAATCTCATTTTTCAGCTCATGTTATGTTTTTTGTGGTGAATTCGCATCAAAAGTCTAATGAACCGCAAGTTTTATTTTGTGTGACATTGTGTTTGTTTTAATACTTTTTAATTCCGGATCTTTCAGTCTCTCTCTCTCTCTCTCTCTCTCTCTCTCTCTCTAAACACATATTATTATTATACAACATATTTGTATATTGTATACACAAAAAGCTCAGGAATTTTTACTACTTCTCTCGCTCTCTATCTCTCTCTCTCTCTCTCTCCCTTCTCGCAGCACATATCTCGGTATTTTTTCAGCAAATGTTTGCGTTATTATTACACTAAAACAAATCAATTCACAAAATAAATTCAGGTTTTATTCACAAAAATGCAAAGAAATGTCTGAATGTCTGCGGAAAGACGTCAAACATTAAATTGCTTTATGAATACAGAAACTCCATCCTCATTGACATTACTGTGTTATGCAATGCCAAACATATGAAGCCAGTGGTGGCAAACCTGTTGCCAATTCCGACCCCTCCGTCCATACCATTCACTCAATAGTAGCGCTCTTTTACTTTTAAATCATTATTTTGAGAAAAATTGGAGTGATTTTTATAATTGGGACCAAATATCACATAAAATTTATATTCAAATATTTTCACCCCACCTAATGCTACAGAATCTGGACTAACTGTACTTATAAAGTTATAGTAGAGTCTATCCATACATTAGTAAATACACATGAATTATCAATAAAATTAATAGTAAAATGCCCATGTTTAACTATACTGTATAGCATACCCGTGATTGGTATGCGTGAGTGTATTGTGAATATTGAAGAATAGATGTGTTATGTAATGAGATATTGAGAGTATAGAGAAGTAGTAGTAGTTATTTGGCACCAAAAAAGTGGAGCGGATCTGAAGTGAGAAAAAAAACAAGACTTCTTTGGCTTCTTTACGGTTGTCCTCAAAGCCGGGTCTCAAAAGGTGAGCGCATTTGGCTCTGAGTTGTTTCACCGGTAATTACAATACACTTAACTTAAATACCATTGACGAGCGACGAGTCCAACGCATACCAAACAACTCGTATGAAAAACACTGTTTTAATATTGCATTTTTCATATCAAATAATATTCATATTATGAACAAACGTTTGGTTATGTTATGTGTATTCTTGTTAAATGAATGAATGGCAACCGATCACCAAAATTATACATAAGTTTATTAAATACATTGCTTTAAATGAAAGCCGGCTTT